TTCCAACTCCTAGAGATCCGTATTTGTGGCTTCCGGTACATGTTTACAGGAACAGACAGCGCATCTTTCTCCCGTGGAGTGATGGTGATTTTAAACAGCTAGCTGACCTTGCATGGAGCAGTCTCCTGCTTAACTGGCAGTGCCACCGGGGTCCCTCAAGTAGTCACCACATGTCTCTAATTCGAATTGAAAGGCCTATTTTCAGAACTTTTGTCATTCTCCTGCTTCCCCTCTTGGTTCAGCTATTTCAAAGCACACGGGACAGGATGCTGTGGCAGCAACACTGGGAGTGCGCAGAAAAGCAGCCTGAGCCGGGGCCCACTGACTGGGAAGGTGGCCACAGGAAAGCTGCTCAGCATATGGAGGTAGGGGAGTCCCTGTGGGGCACCCGGGTGGCATGGACCTGAGGGCCTCTCCCAGGAGGTCAGCTGATTCATCCAAGAATTTTCCAGACAACAAGTGTTCTCTCCATTACCATTGAGCTGACTCTGACTGAGAGCATCCTGACACAGGGTTTCTGACACTGTGGTCTGGGCGGGAGCAGGCAGCCTCATCTTTCTCCCTGGGGCAGTGCCTAACCCCATGGGCCTGGGATCAGCAGCCTAATGCTTAACCCACGGTGCCACTGGGATTCTTTCATTTGTTTTAGGGCAGAGACATTTGGTTCAGGGGTTACATTCACCAGGTTTCTATTTCTCGTCGTGACTCACCGCCCATCAGAAGTCTGAGCAGCACCTCCTGCGGACTGGAGAGCCCTAGTAGAGAACTCCCAGAATGGTCCCAGATGCTTCCCCTGGGGACCCGAGCCCTCCAACCTTGGCCTGAGACTTGCAATCAAAATAAGCTGTAGAAAACTCGCTTACATGCACCCAGCCCTGGCAGTACTGATGCAAAGCTGATGTTCAGACACCCAAAGTCGAAATTGCAGCCTCAATTCTTCAGATATGAAACAGAAGGATCTACTACACACATGGGTACTAAGTGTGACCCAAATAATTGATGTCGTGATGCTGACCCAGTGTCTGTGAACTCCTCGTTGGCCTGGTTAGCCCTAACCATTTGGAGTTAAGGCTTCAGCTGGCTTACTTTTCATAGGCAATACCATAGAACCGTTGTGTGTGGGGTAACGGTAAGGGGTGAAGATGCCTAAGGGTCATTGATTATTTTTCATATCTGCATATCTTTACAACGGTGGAGCCAGGAGAAAAAGGATCTTGATAGTGATACAAAACTTTAAAAAATATATTGTTGAATACAGCATACCAGAAAGTTATTGTTGTGGATAGTATTAATAGGATTAAATAATGCAAGTAAATGACATATGGAAACATAAATGAATATTAAGTTTTATGGAATGTATCAATAGCATATAATATATGATTGATTTATTGAATGCCATTAAATATTAACATTACTGATAATAAGATTGTGGTGACGACCTTTCTCTACTGTTGCTGGCCGGTGCCATCGGGTTGGCTGTGACTCGCAGTGACCCCGTGTGCAGCAGAAGCAAACACTGCCCAGTCCGGCACCCTCCTCACAGCCGCTGTCTGCTTGAGCCCCTGTCGCAGTCCCTGTGCC